CAATAATCCTTGGCAGTCTTTGAGCTCCCCGTCCGTACTTTCATAGCACCCTAATATAGCACTTGACATGGGTATGCATGCCCAATACACTGGATGTCCTGTGAATTGCTCAGACAGCGTATGTCTAAATCCTTCTATGTGCACCTTACTTGCCAGGATAGGCTCGGGCTTCCCTGCCACCTTGTATTGGATAAAATGTTAGAATATACTGCAGATGTAGATGGACTGTCAATGAATTTCAGGATAAAGTTGTTCAAAGGAAAATAAATAAAATGATACTACCACACTTACAAAGTGATTGTTATATCTGAAACGAAAAGAACAATGATAATATCCCAGGTGTCAATACAGACATTTTTGCAAGCTAGGTTTTGGAACCAACAGCCATAAACTCAATGAAAATGGATGTTCTTAACTTTTTGCAAGTTATTCTATTGAACTGCTTTATTGCTCAGTTTGTGACGTTTTATCTTCTGTTTAATGTTCTGATGGTTTTCAAACTATCCCAGTTCAAAGCACAAGGCGAATTGAATAACTCAACACTCAAGAACAGCATGACGAAAGGAAGCACAGCGCCTTTCAGACCATACTTTAAGCAGACGTCTAAAACGAATTCAGTGATACCAATTCATTGTTTTCTTTTCGGACTTTGTCCAAAACCAAGACACAACATTAAAATTAAATCTTAGAATGTCTATGTTAAGGCACGGCTGGTCATTTATAGGTGTCGGCTCAACTCCTTTGCCATTACACTGTATAAATAACATTATAACCTTTATAAAGCGAGCTAATCTTAGCTGTCGAGTCCTATGTTCCGCCCTTAAAAACGGTGGCCCTCCCTAAATATAGTCCTAGTTTCCGAGCCAAAACGAACATTTGCTGCGTCACTCTTGTTTCTCTTGTCTGAACACCAACCCCACGCTCCTTAACACTGCCACCTACTGACTGAGAGCTGAGACAGTCTCTATGGCAACCGGCACCGGCTCTGGGCTTATAGTTGCCAGGTGGGCGGTTGGCTCACACAGGTGGTTGATTTATGATTGTTAACAGACCCCCAGAAAAATCCCACCCTTTGTGCACCAAAAAAAAAGAAAAGTGGTTAAAAAGGTTGCACGTTTTTTTAAATTTGTAGACCAAAATAAAATTGAATGTCCGCGCTTGCGTTTCACTCCTGACCTCCTGAGACGATAATTGTTCCCTTTAACAGTTTCACAGTTCGCCTGACCTGCTAATTTCCGATACGTCAGGATATCAAATTATTTGGAGCTGTTTCTGTCTATTTTAAAATACCACGTCAGGATTCAGGGAATTTAGCTCTCAACTTGAAAGGGACTGTAAGTTAATACATTTCAGAAGTGAAAAACACGAGTAGTCTAGTGCCCGCAAAAATGGGGCGAGTAATTAAAATAGTTTTAGTTTTATGATTATACAAAAAAGAAAACACAACATGCAAGGAAAAAAATTCTGCATTTCTAAAGCTAACACTACAGTATGTTAGCATTGTGTTGATAGTTTCTTCAGGGAGAGTTTCGTTTTGAATATACAATCAGCATATTGTTGGGGTTTTTTTTCGTGCAAACGTGAAATTTCTTTCACCCACTAAAGTGCTCAATTTGAGATTCGAGTTTTGTTTAAAATCTTTATATGAAATATTCACGTTTAAATGTCTAATTCAACAAAAGGGACAACATCTGTAGGAGGTGAATACTTTTGGAAAGCAGCGCAGCTCAGACGTAATAATTTTAAAACGGGGAAAAGCAGATTAAATCTCCGAGATAATGGCAACACAACACAGTGTTAATTTAACCAACAGTATGACACTGTGTTTACGAAGACATAAGCCATAGAAATGTAGACCACAATATAATATATTTTAAAGTAAAACATGATACGCAGACTGACGTATATACATGCACTTCAATAAACAAAATGCAAGCTACTGCTAAATATAATAAACTCCCACTAGGTGGTGCAATATAACCACAGACATACACAACAAAACCAGTAGCTTAACCCTGAAAACTAAACGCGAATGTTTCTTTCTCATTACTAAAACACTATTACCTTGTTTTGGTACGCCGTCTCCCTCTAACACTTAGATCTTCACACTCATTTCCACAGTTTTAGTATTAACGGTGGCATCAGCTCCTTAATGAGCCTCCGTCGCTTGTCTGTTGTCATGTCTACCTCAATAACGAGCCACGACTGGTGCCCAATTCTTTCACCCAATCAGCAGTATCCTCATGGCTCCTGAGACAAGATAAGATTAAACACGCAGAAGCTTGGATGCCTGCAATCACGTCGTTTTACAATAGCTAACTTTTGTGTTTCTTCTTTGTTTTCTCCTATGTTATCTGTTCACTTTTATCCTGGTCTCTTTTTTTCAGCTGGTGGGTGGAAGGGATGGGGATTGGGATTTTTCTGTTTGACTTTCCATTTGTTGTATCACGACTAGGTGTTTCTAGTGTATTCTGCTCTGTGGTATTGTACTGTATGTTATTAAACAATAAAAAAAAAATGTTTGCAGTAAAGGCTTCCACTCTTGCAGGGTGTAATTCCAGTACTTAATTGAATCCTTAATTGAATTAAGAAGTTTCTTGATAAGTCTTATTAATCAGCTCATTTAGCATCTTTGTTAGCTCTGATTAGTGTTACATTGCTCATTCTGAAACAATTGATTTACTCAGTCCCTTCAGCCAGTCAGTGTGTAACAGATGAGATCTAAAGTGAGTCAACTGGGGAAAGCGCAGCTCAGAGGACTTTACTCAAGGCACAGAACACCCTGTCTAACACAGGACTCATCAGAGCGTCAAAAACAGGGCAAAGGATGTTGTGAGACTAGGCTATATGTGTGAGCTGCCACTTCCTCTCTCTCTGAGCACCTGCAAACGTGTGGTTTGTGAAGTCTCGCTGTGGTGCTTAACCCCTTTGGTGCAAGAATAGGGGATAGAGCGTTCTTAGAAAAAATCGTGTGAGCACTGCAAGAGACAGGGACATCTGAGCATTGACGCTTTTAGGTGACACAGTGCTGGGTTCACTTCCATGCTGTCGGTGAGGTCACCTCGCAGAGCAGCAGAATGTCCGGACCCCCAGGAGACTCACTGTGCACACACTTCAGTCTCAACTGAACTCAACAAGGGTGCACAAGGAATAGAGGCAAGGAGATTTTCATGCAGACTGAAGGTAGGTCAACAGCTCCAGGCTCAGGACTAATGCAGTGCAGCATGGAACCCTGTGAAGATTTGCATCTGAGGAAGCCACATGATTGTCATTCAGTTTGACTGTGGTCTCTCTCTGTCTTTATTAAGTGCATTCTTTAAGGCAGAGGAAAATCAGGGCGACCCAATTCAACACAACTCATCACAGCTTAAATTAAATAAACGCCTTTCAAAAAGCTCAATCATACTCATGAGGATTAATGCCGCCGGGTAACTGCTCAGATTAATTCTAATTCCAATTCTAATTCCACAGGCAGGGTAAATATTAAACTCCTACAGCAGCTGCAGTTTGCTTTCAAAAATCAAGAGTGGATCAATAAAATACACAGAATGACCCTGAGGCATACAGTATATAAATGTGAAAATATACCACTGTAGTTACAGGTCAGCAGTTATCTGAGGGCATCATATATCTCTCATTGTTGTTTCTTAAGATATTAATTGGTAAACAGACAAGAAACCTTTATATATACAGCATATACTGAACGTGTCTTTGATAATGTGTTCAATAGGCTCAGTGTCCTTTTTTAAAGTGACATAAAGCAAAACAAATAGTTGAAAGTTCAATTGTTTATAGTAATAAACTAGAATTATGCTATAGAAGAAAAACTTAAATGATCTACATGAAATTTCAGTCAGCATATGAGAGCTGAGCAGAAGTTTTAGCCAGAGGAATTTCCTGTATGTCTTTGAGAGATCACTGGATCATTGTCAAGTCAGGCCCCACAAGGCCTGTAGCAGTGTGGATCATTGAGGGCTGGTGATGTACCCAATTAAGTAATTATGTCTGTTATTAATTGTGTTCATTATAATGAAAGCCAAATTGTGTTTTCTGCCTCTGCTGTCCCGCGCACAGGACATCTTTTACCCCGCACGGACTGACGTGGTCCTGGCATTTTCTGGAAGGAGCACACTAAATGAAACTGCCGGGCAAGCAGGATGCCCCCTGTGTGATCCCCAAGTGGCCAGAGTATCCATGGATACAAGGCCTGCTGGATGTGTATTTGGAAATCTTGCAGCAGAAAGGGTTCGGTGTGGACGTCGGCTGTGGAAGAGAACCTTCAGAAGATCTGCTGGTCAGTAGCGTGAGATCAGTGGGTTTAAGAATACAAAACAGAGAATTCCTGTACTTCCTTTCACACCACAGCAAGGCCCCCCAGCTTAGACTGCATGTATTTTAACACATCGTTTTACATTTCAGTGGGGAACAGATGGGGTTAGCATTGGTGCCTCACAGTATAGGGGCCGAGTCCAATTCCAGACCAGCGGTGGTGTCCGTGTGGAGTTTGCATGCTTTCCCCTGGTTTTCATGGGTTTCTTCTGGGTGCTCTGATTTCCTTTAACATTCTGAAGACATACTGCTAAGTTAATTGGCTTCTGGAAAAATTGGCCCTGGTGTGAGTGTGTGAGTCTGTGTGCGCTCTGCGATGGACAGGTGTCCTGTCCAGGGTGTGTCCTGCCTTGCGCCTGTTGCTTGCAGAGGCTATCTGGCTCCACCGTGACACCGAACTGGATGAAGTAGTTAGAAAATGGATGGATTAACCTGTACTAACTTCCTTTATTGTCCCAATTTCACAATTTAAAAAGACACATGAAGAAGCTAGGTCATCAGTGTGAGAGACAAACACATAAGATATATGCATGATAAAAAATAAATAGAAAAATACAGAAAAATCAGTTGTCTAAATTGTGTATGTCCATGGATATGGAAATAAAGGTTTGCTTAGTTCCTTTGCACTTAAGGCGAAGGCTGGTTTTAGTAAACAGTTACCGAAACTTGCCTTTTTTAAAATATGTTTCATTTATTAAGTACACAAAAGTCTCCAAAACAGTACAAAGGGAGGAAAAACTGTTCACAAACACAGTTCTTTCAAAAATACATGTTTGCATACAAACCTGGGTTAAGAAACAAGACTTAAAAATAAAACATGCTGGCTACACCCATATCTACCAAACAGTATTACACATATTTTCCCAAGAGTCTTTCCACTGTGGTAAGATATACATTGCTCTCTCATTAATACTGCAGCGCCGATCACAGTTATTTGAAGCAGATGGAATAGTTCGAATTATTACTAAATTACTATTCCATTTTTAAGTGAATTTTTCCAAGAAGAAGAAATTCCTTTTCCTGATTCGCTTCAATGCTTCTGTGACCACTCTCTCAAAGAGAGGACGTTTCCTGCCTAGTGATCATGGGCCAGTGCGAAATCCAAGCTCATGTACACATTGTCGTAGTTGAAGGCTACCATCCACACCCATGTAAGCCACAGCATCTAACTGCACAGCAGCTATCTCAACAAAACTATTCAAAATTCATCATTAAAACAAGCACTGGAGAACTCCAAAGTCAGAGCACTGTCAAGTATTCTGTACTTGTAACCAATTCATCACTGCAGCATAATTTGGACATAAATTCACTTATTTTTTAATTTAGTCTATCATCGCCCAGTATTTTGTAATTCAGTCTTGTGTCTTAATTATGTTTTTTTCCTTCCACATTCCACAATAAAGCAACTTACAGAATATTTGTGGTCATTTGTACTGCAATGAGGAATGCGAGTACCTTGCTCATGAGAGCAACAGCAGTATGTACTCCCTAGTGTGCTAACTGCAGCCCTCATTAATTCACACACCCCAAATCTCAGTTTGTTCTCTAGTGTCTTAGTAGTGTCCAAGACCTGTTTGTGTCTGGAGAGTCCTGGGTGAAAGGACTGTCTCAGGTCCCAGCCATTTTGAGAAATGAGCTGTGGATCAGGCCCAGAAAAAAAAAAAATCTGCAGGGGCGCAAGCTGCAGGACCCCTCACCCCAAGAGCGAAAAATGAGTGTCCCATTTTCAGCTATGGTGTCAAACTTAATTCTGGTAAAATGGTCAGAAAACAGAAACACCTTGAAATGAGGTCAAAACAACTTCCACGTTCATTCTTCGCCTTTGTGATGGTGATTATTTTTTGGTAAACGTGAACTGAACTCCCTGCCCTCTGAGGACAAGATAGATGTGGCCATATCCAGCAGAGGAATTTATTTGGTTTCAAACAAAAAAGAAGTTTCCCTGGGCTTTAGCTTCATGATGCATCTGCCAGGTGGCGGTGTGACCTACCCACTTGCGGGTAAGGCAGTCAGGAGAGTGACCGGCAGCGTGACAACCCCGGATTCGCAGGCTGGGAAAGGTGTGCTTGCCGGCACCATGGCGCATTCCTTTGGGAATCAGGTCTCCCATTCCTATTTTCGATCCCGGGTCTCTGCCCACGTGCAAGACCAGAATGTCCGCTGCCACCCTCTAAGGAGGCCTTCAGTAGCGCATTTGCCAGTGGCACCAGGCATCATCTAGTATAGGACCTCTGCCAGCTGAAGATGGCATGGATGTTATGGGAGCAGGCCGGCACCCTCTTGCAGGTGCTGACGCTCCGGTGGCGGAAGGCCCTGACGTTGGTGCCGCCCCCCAGCCCCCTGCGGCGGGCCGCCTGCTTGGACCGCTCCTCGGCCGCGAAGAAGTCCGTGGTGGCACGGAAGAACTCCAGCAGCGCCTGGTGGCTCCACTGGAGGGCGCCCTCCTCCCCGGGCGTGGAGAAACCGCAGTGCCCGCCCTGCGCCGTGAGCAGCAGGAAGAAGTGGGGGTTGGTCTCGAAGAGCTCAAAGGGGAGGGTGGCGGCGGGGGCGCCCCGGACGGGGTCGTCGCGGCTGCACAGGCAGAGCACGGGGATCGCCACCTCGTCCACGTCCCGCAGGGGGTCGTTCCGCTCCCAGTAGGCCTCCCACCCGCCTGTCAGCGCGGGGTGGCAGAACAGCGCCTCCTCCAGGGCCCGCAGGGAGCAGCTGGAGAAGAGCTTGTCCATCTGGACCATGTCGCCCAGCGCCGTCTTGTACCTGCGGGAGGTTATAACAAAATGAACGGAAAGAAAACCTGAGAAAATCCTGGAGTTGCAGTTTCCTTCCTTTGCAGCAGTAATGGGGAGAGAATGGATCCAGCCATTTTCCACACAGACCACATCTATCTTCTATATGTACTGTAATAGCAGCCACATCACCCTGTAACTCCCAGCTGGCAGCCCACTGGAGCTCAGCAGGTGTGAGCCTGGTCAGTACCTGGATGGGAGACCTCCTGGGAAAAACTAAGGTTGCTGCTGGAAATGGAGTTAGTGGGACCAGTAGGGGGCGCTCACCCTGTGGTCTGTGTGAATCTTAATGCCCCAGTGTAGTGACGGGGACACTACACTGTAAAAAAGGCGCTGTCCTTCAGATGAGATGTAAAACTGAGGTCCCGACTCTCTGTGGTCATTAAAAATCCCAGGGTGTTTCTTGAAAAGAGTAGGGGTATGAACTGGCTTCATCACTCTGTTCTCCTCGGTGTTTTGAGTGGGTGTCCACGACAAAGATTATTATTAACATCATACTTTAACATGTCAGTTCATATTATTAAGGTGTCAGTATTTTTAAAATGATTATCATCATCATCATGCAACTTTAATGGCAGTGTTTGGCAGGATAATGGACATTATGAATATTAAAAGGTGAGGTATCACACAGCGATCAGAGAAATGCCCCCCTCCTCCTCCCAGCACCTTGGCGAACCTCACCTGCTGAGGCAGGCCTTCTGATAGAGCAGCAGGGCCCAGCGGAAGGGCCAGGGGGGGCCGCTCTCGAACCAGCTCTGGCAGCGGAAGATGGGCGACAGGCAGGCGGCGGCGGTCACGTAGCTGGACGAGCCGCACTCCCCCAGGTAGGACAGCAGCAGGCCCGCGCCCGTGCTCTCGCTCACCGCGTACAGCCGGCCCGCGGGCTGCCGGTACCGGATGTACCGCACGGCCTCCCGGAGGTCGGCGGGGTCGCCGAACTGCTGCAGCCGGGGGGTGCTGAGGGGGGTCCCGTTCTGGCTGCGCCGGCTGAAGACCACGGGGAGGTAGCCATGAGCCAGGCCCACCTGGCAGAGCTGCGCGGGACAGAGCAGAGGTGTTCCGGCACATTAATCCCCAGGAGAGGGCGGCCCGGTTCAAACTCTCCACAGGTTCTTCCAGAAAAGAGTCTGTTTTCTAGTTTTCCAGTGTTCCTCCAGTTTAAGGTAAGGCTTGCACCCACAGCAACAGATGAAAAGCTGAGGTCAAGGGGGAGACTACTACATGTTAAAGGCATTTCAGACTTCCTTCTTAGAAGGAGGATTCTGTCAGACTTTTGTTTTGTTAGCTCAGTTAAACTTACCAAACAAATCTTTGGAATAAGGATCTAAACTGCAGCCTGTGAACCTTAAACACCACTCAGACTTACAGAAAGTAGACAAGAGTCTGAGAAGAAGATGAGACGTGCAATTAGTGTGGTTTTGGTTTTCTAAATGGAAAATAGATAGGGGTAGTAATAAAAAATAAATAAAGAAAAGGGAAAGAGGCCGTGATGTTCCTGGGTCAGTGGGTGCAGCTGACGATCACTGCTGACTTTGTCACCTTCACCAGAGGCTGGATTCAGAATCCTATATGTTTTCTATATTTGCTGGTGAAGATTTGCAGCCCTGAGCATGCAACTCCTGTCAACACTATCTTTCCTTGGAACAAGTAATATATTTAATCCATGGTGAAAAAAAGAAGAAAGAAAACACAACGTTTCGGCCGTGGAGCCTTCTTCGTGTGTGGCTTAGCCACCTGAACTATCTTTCCTTGGATGTGTTTGTCAAAGGGGACGGCCGTCACTCTGATAAACAGGACCAGGGACAGGGTGAGTGTTCAAATGTTGCGAGATGTATACCAAATCCCTAATCTATCTATGCAAACACAGGTCTGCGAGAAAATGTGCTGATCTGGGCTCTTTCTTGAATCAGGTATGAAATATCTGTTTTGTTTAGGGGTCTTGCTCTGTGCAAACCTTCACTGCAGCACAGGGCTTCAGTATACTTCTCAGTGTATTAAACTGTCAAAAAGGTATATCGCTACCACAGTACATTCCAGGCCACATCATTCTGAGGTGAGCATCTAGCGTATAAATGCAAAATCCTTAGGCTAGTCTGTGGGTTTCATACCGCACAGTCAGGAGGACAAGAATCCACAGCATACCTCTCTGAATAATGCATCAACTCTGACGCACGGCACACTGCACCACATTTGCAAACCAGCATAATCACCCCTGAGAAGACGTATTGATGTATTTCTGGCATGAATCATGGGGAGCTCAGTGCAAAATGCACAGATGACAAGCAGAACTCCTTTCTTTTCCCCCTGCAAAACTATAGCAATATCCCAGAGTAACACGAGAAAGGTAGTTCACATCAGCAGTTCTCTTACACCAAAAAGCATTTAAATCAACAGCAAAAATAATGTCCACTATTTAGAACAAGTTTAAGTAAGGTGGAAAACTAGTGAAAAGTCCAGCTATTTGTTGCTTCGATCATAAAACTTCTGCTAAATGCTACAAAGGTACCAAGCAGCCTGACTCACAGCCTAATTAGATTATAGCACATGTTAGGAAAGGCTAGACTACGGTACAACAAAACAGACAGAAGACAAGCAAAAGACAATGTTACTTTAACAGGCCACTATATAGCTTCTGAAATCAGGAGAGCTGGGGGTGGTTTAATTATTTCCTTTGAAGACTAAAGGCAAACTCTAATGGATTCTGTGCTTCTCCTAATAATTTTCATAAAAAATGACCTGGATTTTCAATCTTTTCTTCTGTTCACCCTACTGCAAGGCATTACGTCAACACAAGCCATTCTTGTACTGCTCTGGATGCAGAGACCATACAGCGGATGAAATATTGGGACATCTGGTTTCCCTCATGGGCCATAATTGAGCAGCCCGAAAAATTGCCTTCCCAGAGCAAGAGGACAAGAACGGAAAAGCCAAGCGGAAGGGAGACTTTCTAGAATTTGCAAAACAGTAAAATATTGTAGGATTTTGAAAAAATACATATTGTAACATAACATTTTCCTTTTTTATCCTAGCAAAAGGGGTTTATAGGACTAACTGTGCATGGAATGGCAGTATGGAGCTAATGACAGCTCAGACCTCCAACTAGACCACTGTCAGGCTATAAATTCAGGACACCCCACTATCACCTTAATCGCCCCCCCATTACTAGAGGAGGTCTGTCCCTCCTGTTTTCCTTTCCAATCTGTCACCTCCCAGCGTACCTGGTCTGTGCCGATGAATACCATCTCGGTGCACTGCACATTTAAACCGCTGTAACAGACTATCTATTTGGAAACAAGGGAATAACAAAAACTCATGAATGTAGCAGGTTGTAAAGCGAGATTTGAAATGACAGCAAGACAGATCTCATCCATTCCCAGACATGAGGCAAAAGGCGCTATACATGTACTGTGCAACTACTCCTGTCCAAAAAAATAACTTTTTTTAAAAAAATGAAAATCTTCCTCCCACGTTCCCATTAATAATGGAAGCACCGGTTCTTTAGTTCAGGCTTAAATAAAGAAGTCAGGTAGCAGGCAGGACAGAGAAGATCCAGAAGCCCTGTCTTTTTTACGCCAGCAAAGAAGCCAGCTCAAATCCGAAGGGGTCTGTTAATCTTGCAACATTATCGCACTGTTCAGAGGAGATTCACTGCCCTGTACAAAGACTGCCTGTTGTTCTGCCTAATTTAGATCAACATTATAGATTCTGGTGTAGTTAGTAACCTACTCACGTTTTCAAATTATACCAAGTTAGAAGGATTAGCAAACTCTGTAGCAGCAGCAAATTAAATTCAAAAACAATTTAGGTAATTATTCAGGACTAAGCAAACATCTGGCTGATGATAGTTAATGCAAACAAATGTAGGATATAAAGGCAGGCAGCAAAACCATAAAATATACATACAAAACAGGAAACACTTGAGACTGAAGAGGCTAAATATGAAAAAGACTTACAGTAGGTGTTAGTGTCGACATCATCTACATCTTCCAGACAAAAAGAGGAAGCAACAAAAAGGCAAACAAAATGGTAAAAAAGATCAAAGTAGAGAATTTAAATTAAGGAATGTTATGTTAAAGTTATGTAAAGCATTAGTGAGGCCTCATTTACAATATTGTATACAGTTTTTGCCACCATTTTACAGAAATTATACTGCTGCTCTGAAAGTCATCTAGGAAAGAGCATCCAGATGCATTCTGGGGCTTAAGACAATGTCCTACACTGACAGGCTGAAGGAACTGAATCTTTTTAGTGCTGAACAGAGAAGTCTATGACGGCACCTTATCTCAATATATGGAATCCTCAATAACACCGATAAGATCAACCCAGCAGACTTTCTTCAGACTCAACAGCGCAACACAAACAAGAGTAGCGGAAACTACATGGAAGTGCATTTAAAACCGAGAACAAAAGGCACTTCTTTGGCCAAAGGGTAATGAGAGTATGGAACCAGCTGCCATGCCACGTTGGTTGAGCTGATACCCAGAATTCTTTCAAGAAACGGCTGGATGAGATTCTTGATTGATTAGCTACTAATCACAAGGTAGGCCAGATGAGCTCATCTTTTGTAACTGTTCTTACATAAGAAAGAAGAGTAAGCCCACTAGCTTGAAACCGTCATCAGTAGGTACAGACAGCTCTGAACAAGGTTTGTCAAATTGCGCTCAGTGATTATGCCACCTGATAAGGAAAATACATGCCAAAGTGCTGTTTCCTTAATGGCAAAGAGTGTCTGCTGCTGTCTTTTGCGCTGTGTGTCATCATCAAGAAGGAAATATTGCTGTTGAAGTGCTTAGTTGCTAACAAGTGCTTTATAGTCTGTGCTTGAACACCAACAAATAGGACAGTAATGAAAAGGCTCAAATAGAAATCTGAGTTATGGAAGGTTCTGGGTCTCTCGAGTCCTGCTTCAGCCAATGCATTATGCTCTTAATTAAAATGACTCCCTACAAAACACCACGTATTAAGACACGTGCAGTCTCCAAAGAGAAACAGAGAGTGGCTCACTGATTTAAACCATTCTAAACACAAAGGCTCCAGCAAAAGAACAAAGAAGCCGATTTTTACTGTTTTAATTATCTGTGTTACAAACAACACTGGCTCCAGAGAAAAGAATAATTCAGTGGGATATCTGAATGAAGGCTAAATGAGCCATCTCAAACCCATAAATACTTTCCCTATGTGGGCACATTTAATTTTACTGGACAGAACAACCCTTTGATGCAGTATTTTTCTGATGCAAGGAAGAAACTATAGAGTTCTAAACACTTTGCAGAACACGTTGTCTGGCTGTGGTTCAGGAAAAAGGGTTTGGGTTTGGTTTGTTGCCTGTTCACCTAGAGTAGCTACCATAGGAATAACACCTCTCATGCATTAAGATATTTGCACTGTGGTGCACTTTGCACTGGGGTATGTGTCTAGATTGCACAATGCACCACAATCAGATCAAAGGAAAAAACAACAGCTCAAGCTTGCCTGTGCTTGTACTGTAAACAGTTTCCCTGTTGAAATCTATTGGAATCACAGAATGGGTGGGTGTGTAAAACAATCAGGGATGTGAACAAAACTCAGTCTTTTTCAAATCATTCAGGAAAGGGAGTCCAGATCCTATAGAACTGCTCCACAGCACCTCTCCTATCGAAGTAAATCCTCTCCATTGTATCACCATCAAGCTCTTGAAACAGGGTACACGTTTCCATTCTAAAAAAAGAGTTTTTTTGGCCACAACCATTCCAATCAACAGTGCTGATTGTTCTCCCTTTGTTAGTCTGAGTTAAAATAGTGTTTTTAAATGACAAAGCATTACCCTTTTTAAAACAGTGCTATAGATAACTTTAAAATGGAGCACTGCAATTAGGCCCAAATGAAGTGTCACTTATTTGTAATCTGGCTGAGAGATGCCCTGGTCTGACCTGTCCCATTGCTGTCTGGTTGGAGAGGAAGCAGCAGGCAGTTTTGCACAGCAGTCCTGTTCAATATTGCACCTATCCATCACTTCACACGCGGGGAAAACAGTTAACAGGCAATTAGGACAGTGCTCATTAAGAGCTGCGTTCTGTGCTCTGTTTCCGTGCCAACTCTGTAGGAAACGTAGCACCATAATCACTACTAGTTAGTGGGCTAATAAATAAATGCAACAACCGGTTGCCACTGTATTTAAAAACAAATCTAGTCAGAATTATTGTATGAATGCAAGGGAAATAAGGTCTTCGCGTCGGCTTTGCTTTGGTTTTCTGAGCTGCCCGTTCTTGTACAGATCCTGGTTATTATCATTTCGCCACCTGATTATAAGCAAAAGTGCCGTGACGGATGCCAGGAATTAAATGTATGTGTTGCATACAGTAGCAAGATATCAGTGTTGGTGATGGCACCTACGGCGCTTACAAAGCCGAAATGGTCCAGACCGTTCCATCCCTGATGACAAATAAATGCGAAATCTTCTCAGGGCCGGAGCTCGCCGAGATCCTATGAGGACTACGCCTGCCCCCCGAGCAACTGCAAAGAGGCTGGCATCGATGGGAGTGATGCCCTCACCTCCTCGCGCGTGCCCCCCTCCCCAGAGGAATCCCACCCCCAACGGGCCAAAGGTTTCATGCACCATGACAACAACCCCCCCCCCCCCCCCGGCTGATCCGTTTCAGCAAAGGGCTTCTTAGTCGCTTCGAACAGACCCACAGCATCAACGCGGACACGCTGAAGAAAAAACACAAACAAGACTGAACAAACACGTTCAAGTGCTCGGGGTACAGACGAATGGCATCTGGCTTAACAGCCTAGTGTGATTAAAACCACGCCTGACAGCCCAGCCAGCAGCGTGAGATGCTTAAGGGTGATGAAAAGTGCTCTGTAAATTTGATTTTCCCAGACCTGCCAGTCCTGAATATTACGATAAATAATCATGTTTGCACCTTATCTGAACGTACAATATAAGCTTTCAGCAACGTCCCCCGCGAACAATGCTTCATCGCAGCAGGCTGATAAAAACAGCCTTCTTCTGGACAGAATAAACAGTGGATATGGACACACACACAAAAGTGGGTAAATATTTTTTTCCCCCTGCCTCTCTCTGATAAAGGTCGTGTTGTGGCAGGTGGCGTTTCAGACTAGGAGTAAAAACTATTTTCTCCTTTACAAAATAAAGAGAGAACCGATTTATTTCGTCCTTTCCTTCCTGGAAAAATACGAGCAATGCAGAAATTCCCTTACTTCACATGCATGCAAATATCAGAAGAGAGTGGCGTTTTATTTCACAAGCAGCCTGATCGCGCAAGAGGAGCACCGCTGTATCGGACTTAAATTACCTCGAGGTGTAGCGAATCTTTGGCTGCCCAGCTCTCTCCCACACACACCCTAATGAATCCATTCTACAGCATCTGCTCGCCATCCTGTCGTTCAAAAGGACGGCTTTGTTTTGTTTTCAGAATGTGGGCAACCCGTTGGCATATAATCTCAAACCAGCTAATTACCAGCACAGCGCATCCAGGGGATAACTCGTCCAAGATGCATATTCTTCCACGATAACGCGCCGTGGGCTCTAGAAACGCGGCACGAACATGATTATCATATAGTTACCTTCAAGACATTCCTGGTGATTTTGCCAAAGGAATTCGGGATGACCAGGAGGATAGGACTGGTGGAGTTGCTGGATGTTCTCCGCCGTCGGTGGTGCGCCGAGCCCGCCACCGCCCAGTCCAGCGCCACCAGCCCGTCGTCACTCAGCTGCAGGTACTCTCGCATGAAGTGCACGGAGCTCTCCAGCGGCCAGCAGGCGCTGAAGACGGTCTGTAGGAACGGGCTGGCTCTCCAGCTCCAAGTCAGAGCCGTCGCGAAATTGCTGAAAGTGACACAGTGCTTGAGGAGGTAGTTGGCGAGGGCGGAAGGCTTGCATATCAGCGACACCGGCTCCTCTCCAGCTGGCGCCCCCGCCGCCGGACAGGGGTCGGAAACGCACCTGTCCAGCTCTCTGGACGGGCGCCGCGCCGTCTTCCTCCCCAGCCCGCCGAGAAGGACGCCCGGCCAGGGTTCAAATCCAAAGTACCGCTTGGCAGGCCAGAGCAAGGCCACCGCTATCAAGACGAAAACGGCAGCGAACCACTCTAGCATCTCACGGAGACGACGGCGGGCGGGTGCGTCTGAGCAAGTCGATCGCCGCTTGCGGTGTGTGCACCGAAATAGTTCGCCCAGCTAAGAAAATTTCTTCCGCAGGAAAAAAATAAATAAGAAGTGCAACCGCGTCTGTAGGTTCTTTCACCGAGTGCTCATACAGACACAAACGAAAGCCATGAATCTAGTTTTTGCCAAAGAAACCCGCGGTGTGCTTTTACTTTCTCGCCGAGCTCCGGTTTAACTCCAGAGTAGTGGAAAACACTAAGCCCGGTGGAAATGGCCAAGCGGTTTTCTCAACTCGGAGCAAAAGGCATCCGTGAGACTGATTTTTTTTTTTTTACTGCGGTTGCCTCCCTTCCTTGTCCACTAAATTCATGAGCGAGGTCGGTACAGAGTCACTCCAGCACACATCAGCTGATTTGAGCCCGACAGCGGCGCACAGCGTTCTGCTTAATTGAACGACGTTGAAAGGGTCTGAGAAGTCGACAGCCTCTTCAAACTGATACTCAGATCCACTTCGTACAACATCCTCCGCGCACAAGAGTTACGCTTCTGCATCCCATAGGGTGTCGCGGCGGCGGAGGCTGACATCTGGCAGGTATCAATAGCGCAAATTGCTGATAATATTAAGATTGATAAGATCGTGTCGGCGGGTGACGGAGGCAAGGGGGGGCTCTCGGTGCGAGCGGCTATCCTCCGCCTGCCCAGAACGCAAATGTCGCACTATAAACACAGGCGCGGAGCCAGTTTTCATTGCTCAACTTCGAGAAGAAGGCGTGAAAATGTGCCTCACAGGAGAGTGACAAATCATGACCACCCCTTTCCCCACGTCCACTAGCCTTAAATCCCCCGTGAGTTACTGATACAATCAGAAAGACTGTCATAGGGAGGTTTTAAAGGCGATGGTGATGGTGATTCCACTGCGCTCGCTTTCCTCCCAAGTTTGAATCTAGCTGGGGCCACATGTCTTTCGCTTCAGACTTTGCTTTTATAGACCAAGATGCTGCGAGCACTCGGCGTCAGTAACCGCTCGGGAGGTTCAAGGTTTACTTGAACCTCCGGTGAACAGCAGGCACAGCGCCCGTCCTTAAGGCGGAGAATTTAAGCCGCTTGAGTAAAATAGATTTCTGTGTATTTCCTCATGATCAGTACTAAACCCGCCGTGATTTCCTCTAATATCTCATAATCGTGGTGTGCAAAAGCGTTTGCAGATGGTTAACCTTTATTTCAGTTTTATTTATAGTTATCTAAATGCGGTGTTGCTTCTATGCAAAGTGCAAACAGGTGCAATTCAATTTGAAGCGGGGCACCTGATAAGTCAGCTACAACAAAAGGGAGAAAACTGATCTCCGCAGAAAGAAATGCTCGACAATCTGCTTTCTCTATTAGGCGTGAATTGTTCATAATGGTTCGTGAAGGGCAAAGTGAATTGGCTCACAACGATGGAGGGTTTTTCTGAAATGGAATTGCATCGATTATCATAATTCAGGTGTCTACCAAAACATAATTTAATTTAAACCAGTCGATAGTTGTCTATTTCCCTTGGAGCAGACATTTACTGTACATATCGAGCAAAAGAAAGGAGGTCTTGTAAAATGTGTTGCGTAAATGAAAGTTTATCTTCAAGTTGATCTTTTTCTTGTCAGAAATAAGTCACAGGAACCAGGGAAGACAAATGGATTAGCGCTGATCTTAATCTTGTTAAGCTTTATATAGTCTAGCTATATTATAGCTATTATTTATAATCATTTTCACTGTTTAAAAATGACGTGTCAGTGCTCGTCAGGTGACAAGTAATGTGCGGCTCTAAGGGAATAACACATTAGCAAATAAACAATAGTTTAATAATAGGACAAACAACAGACCACGGGTCAGGAACTGACTGCTGCAATTCTAAAACAAAACAATGGGATTTGAACAGCAGAGATCAATCGATGTAAAAATAGCACGGACCTTTATTCTTGTAACGCTTAAAAATAGCAGACACGCCTTTTACTCCAAATTCATACCATTGTTCTGTTTTTTTTAAATTTTGACAAATTATGTTGTCAAAATGTGTTAATGTGATGCCTTACGGGGATGGACTATTGTTCGCATTGCTTTTATGTACAAAACCCGTACACTGATGTACAGTACGAGAACGTATAGCCTGTCGTGCACAGAAAACGTATCACAAAATACGATGGCTATACAAAATTCAGTTTGAAGCCATTTAACCCAAATCAAACGTGTTCAGTTTCCAAGATGATATGTGCCCCGCAGAATGTGAAGGTAAAAACCAGTTGTAGTGAATTACACCCGTTTGTGTGGACAGCTACATGCTGCATCATTGTAAATTACTCATCTTAATTAAATACAATTGGTAACGAGGCGCCATTAGCGGTAGAGGCAATTGGTTTACTTCGCTTTTATCTAAAAAGCATTTCAAGATTAATTTACCAGTAACAACCTTCTGTTTTCAAACCACAAGGAATCACGCTGGGACTCTCTGGCTGTCCTCAGTGAAGCCTTCCAGTCTTGTTCTGAGCTCTTCAGTGGACGATGCGACGGATTTAAAAAACAAATTCCACACAATATGCAAATAATACTTGAACACGCAGTTTCACAAGGAGATTTTTGTCCTTTGCTATTCTGAGGGACTGGGGAGAATTGGACTCAGCACTGTATTCTGCCTTCCTTTGTGCCCATATTGAGTGCCGTGAAAATTACTTTCTAGAGACGTCTGGAAAACCAGAACACAGTGCAAAGTTGACCTTCTCCTTCCACATTTCTACTGGTAAACCTCTATTCTCCAAAAGCTCCTTAATATTATTTATTCATAGTTATTTGGCTTTGTTGTGAGCCAAAAAAGGGGCTTTTTATTGTTGTAATGTGAGTGAAATACAGAGCTTAGCAGAAATACAGAGCTCAGAGCACTTCTCTGGACTTGTGTAGAGGGTGACAATTCATGACTGCTTGCCCCGGGGCCCTGTTGTCCTCGGATTCCTGTAAATCCACGCGAGCTGATCCATCCCCGTCTCCACAAGCCCCAAGAGCCAGAAGAGCTCATATTTGGCCGGAGGGCCTGGTCACTTTGAGCAGCAGCTGGATTCTCTCACTTGCGGTGTGGCAGCGGTTTCACACCTGCCCCCGGTGCGCTTTTCACACTGGAGCGCAGGCAGTGGAGAAGAGAGCTTTCATTATCCAGCGGTCACTCTGCACTGCTCTGTCTTGAGTAAACTCCAGATCAACTCATAGGGAAAACGCTGCTTCATGTCATTGTTACCACTGTGCTTCCTGGTGCAAATAATAATAATAATAAATAATAATAATAATAATAATTATTATTATTATTATTATTATTATAAGAGAGGAAATGCAGTCTTAAATACTGGTTAAAAACCTCTCGCATGCCAGTACTGTAAATCCTGCTGCAAATCTCTGGCAAGCACAGACCTGACCAGAACCAGGGAGCTGGAAAGACCCGAATAAATCTGTTGGTTTTGATTAAGACGTTGCCATGCCTCTGTGAGCATGCAGTTACAGGACCCCTGAAGGCAAGAGAGGAGAACTGCGCACTCAAAGAGCCCAGCGATATGAATTCCACTGGGCATGAGCTATCCGCCAGCAAATGAAGCCGTTTGCACACTGAACTGGAAACTAGTCAATGACTCAGTTTGAGAAGAATAATTGCAATGTTATTCTGAGAGGAAGAGTTTACACATACTGTAGTTACTCTCGCATGATGGTCTTTCAGTCTTGCATTTTTTTATTTTTGTATTCTGCTGCACCACTCCTGGTTGAAAGTAAGATAAGATAAGGATGCAGCAGAAAGGAACAGACTGAGGTATCTGCAGACTGTCCGGTCTGGGCTTTATGGTTAAGCGCTGTGAGCTTCAGACTGCTCTGAGAAAGGGTGTGTTTAAGTGGCTTGTGGTGAAGGCTGTTTGTAATAAACAGGCAGGGCAGCGGTGCAGGAACTCTAATCTGGGGGTACAGATTTTACATACAGGTCTGCTGGGAGAGAGCACACACTGTACTGTATGTCATTAAGGAGGAATCCAGATGCTTGTGTGTATTCATTTATGTGCTTGTTTGTTCAAGTTTGACCTGGCCTCAGGCTTTGATCACCTTCCAACTACAGGAATATAGAGTTAATCTGGTTATAAGCCACAAATATAAGTATAAAACAGCTACGTTGGATTTTCTTTCTGTGTATTCTTCAATCTGAAGAACTAGTGCTTGCTACAGCAGGATCTTGTTTGCAGAACGTGGTCTTGAAAATGTTATCCATACTTCATTTTTTGACATGGAAAGTACAAGGATTACTGACCAAAGCTACTAGGATCTCTGAACTCTCTCTTCGCTATTTTTTAACAACCCGAAATGCTGAGCTCAACAAGCAAATGCCAAAGGTTTTGGAAAGCAAACTCTAACCAACTACTGTGCTGTGTTTTAAATGTATGTGGTTTGATGCTACGTAGCAACTGTACAAGGCTGTATAGTGTAATTACAGAAAATCCTCACGAATGGTTGCCAAACATCATGCATGCATTCTAAAGATAGGAACCTGGGCACATTTTTCACAGGAGTTGGAGGAAAACCAAGGGGACAGGGATAATAAAATAATCACATCCATCTGTAGGATGAAATGTGATCCGTGAAGGATGACGATCTAAAAATTGGGGCAGAAACCAGGAGATGAAGCAATTCTCCTTACAGCTGTTAATATGCCAAAATGACCCACGTGTTGAATTAGCATTCATGTAAACAGTTCTAAATAAACTGTCCAGCCACAGCAGACTGTGAAGGCAAAGTGACTGAAGGGAATTTGAAGTACAACAGGAATCACCGACAAGTGACTAAGACATCCATCCGTTATGAGAAAGGCACTCCGTCCAAGTGCGAGTTAAGACACTCTGGAGGCACAAGTCAGAGTGGGGACTGCACTCTGATGGGGGTGCTAGTCCATTAAAGTGTACACATACAAGCATGCAAAGCTATTGAAGAAACACCAATTAACCCAATCAGAATGTGTCCAGGAGGTGGGAGACAAGCAAAGTCCCCAGACTCCAGACAGAGGGCTCCCAGCCCAGAACCCGGGAGCTGTGAGGCAGAAGGACTATCTGCCAAGTCACCATGCTGCCTTGGGAAGAAATACAGATCATTAATCCTGGCTGTGTTACAGAGTGGGTATTATATTCATATGAATCCCGACAAACATCCTTTATGATCACCCCATTATAACTGGCATCCCTGTAAACCTCCATGTGGAAAAATACTGACAGGAGCATATACCTCTGATTTTCAAGAATTCAACTGTGGGATTAATAAAATACTCAAGGGAGAGATTAAAGACTTGCACGTACTTGCTGAAAAATAGAATGGAGCAATGTGACATAAAACATTCTCTGCAAACTAGAATGAAACTAATCACTGCCGAACAAATAGAAATAGCGAAAAATGTCAGGGTGTTGAGTTCAGGTTTGTACATTTTAAAAAGCCTTATGAGCATTACAATAAAACACACATGTGTGAAAGTATACCTGGAAGAAAAAACATTTTCATTGCAAATAAAATGGGGATTTCGAAAATGTGTGGTTGGATTTATGTTTCACTTGGAAGGTCCCAGTCAGTTAATAAAGTTCTGTTTTCATCTCTAAAAGAGGAAAAAAAATCTCTTTGGAGAGCAGCCTAGGTAATTTAGGAGCCGCGCGTGGTGCCACCTGAAAAGGTTCTAACCTAACCTGGTCTGTCACGAGACAGCTTTCTGCAATGTCATAGCACTGTCGAACACACGTCTCTGTTCGTGCTCAGGAGTTCAATTCAATCTTGTTTTCATTACAGAAAAAAAAAATGCTGAATGTTTGAGCTCTTGGGAGAAGCTTACTTTCGTCAGCTAGTACCTTTGACAGATGAATCCAGGTCATGGGTAGTCAGGCCTGGAGAGAGAAATCCTGAGCTATGTCAGGGACTAGAAGAGAGCTCCTGGGCTGTTCTGCTACCTTTCTTTTTTCCAACCAAAAAGCTCTCTCTGACACAAACTCCACTTCACCCTTTTCCAGCACCACGTTCCAAAATAATAAATGTTGCTCTCTGGAATTGGGCCACAGATGGGCAGCAGGTTATGTCCTGAGCTCACAGGAATGTTGTCCACCTACAGGCTCAGAGAATTGCATCTTTTACCAAGAAAACAACGAGGGGAATTGATTTGGGTATCGAAGACAGACATGGTCAGCGTACGGGACTTCTTCAGGATCAGCGGTGAGGCACGGAGGTGAGGACACAGCTGGACACTCGGGGAAGGTGGAGTTAAGACTGAGAAACAGTGTGGACGCCCACAGTGGAAATTACACAGACGTCTTAACAAGAGCCACATTCTTGTTTTGTTTGTTTCTGATGTGCTGTTGCGCTGGGCCCTGGGGTGGAGTTAGCTTTCTACTCCATTTTTTTTGCGAAGACAGAGCAACACAATTGGGAGAAAAAAGGAAGCAATCAGACGCAGAACAGGCCAGAGCCAAGAAAAAGTGGAAATGTTGCAATGCCTCAGCCCAGAGGGGCTGCTGTCAGAAGTAACTCTCGCTCCACTTGATTAAGAGAGCATGTCACAGCTCAGAAGGCATGCCGGTGCCGGCATGGGTATTCCACATTTGGGGGTCTTTGCACCCAGTGCAGCTGTTCCAGTTGGATTCTGCCGATTCCCATTGGGGGAATGCTAATTTCTAATGCACTGTGGTCTGCATAAATCCTGATAGGCCGTTCCTGGCCACTGCCAAGATTCAGTATATGCAGTATATTTCAGCAAAGGAGTGGCATATCTGTAAGAAATGTCTTGTTTTCTTCAGAATTACAGTAACATTCGGAAAACTCCTACCCCTCTCCCCCAGCCCAGGGGTAGGGAGGAGAGAAGGTTAATTCCAGGCCGGATAAAGACAAAGCTGGAGCACAGAACAGCCCTGCTGTTCTCCCATCTCCTTCTCCTCCCACCCAGTTCAAGGCGTCACTGCCCTGCACCGGAACTGCAGAAGAATTGGTCTTGACAGGCAGCTTTGCCAGAGGGGACCTTGGACAGCTGAAAAAAAACAAGGAAAAATTCAAGGAAAGACCGCTGAAGAGCTCTAACCTTGACACAGAAAGGAGGCCCTTTCTCTCCAAAATGAACGTAGTGGATTCCCAATAGCAAAGCTTACAGGTGGGGTGTCTCCACAATACAATGTCCTACTGACAATTGGACTCCTTGCACAGGATATGCCCAGGGAACACGAGCGCGATGATAAGTGAATAGGGGGAGATCTCCAACTCGAACAACAGGAACCATTTCAGGCCATTGTCAGGCTCTAAGAAGGAAGTGAGATAGGAATGTACTGACGTCACTTCCTAATTAACAAGTTCAGATAAAGCGTCTTGAATAGCAAGGGATTCTTTTTCTGATACGTATAAGAAGTGACCTTATACAATCATTTCATTTATTAGAAAGTGGTGAGCACTAATAGGCTGAAGGGCATGCCATGTCTCTGATTTTCACCCCGAGTGAGAGTAGCCACACCAAAGCACACAGTCTCTGGTAAATTCAACAGCAGTACAGTTTAGAGATATTTGAAGGGGTCTTTGTCATTTCAAAGCAAACTGGCTTCTGCCTCACTCCTCAATTAAACAAGGGGGTGATTTAATTCACTTCAGTACACCAGTAAATTACTTGCAAAAGTGAGGAATGGGACATTTCAGCGCATTTATCATTTATCCTCCTTTACACATACAGAGTCAGCAATTTCAGTGTTCAGTAGGACTAGATGCACATTCTCCTTTTAATACCTGTGTACAGAGCACAAAGAACCTGTCTAACAGAACAGATTCCTACCTAATCACTGATTGTTTATGAAGTTCCATTCTTCTGAACTGGGTCCTAGCAGATCCCTCTCAGAATAAAAAACATGGAAACCTGGGATTATATCCAGTGAATTCTAGTTGTGAGATTTTAAGTGACTCAGAAACACTACACAAAAATTACTAATTTAATGCCAAATTAAAGCCAAATGTCAAGCAGTTGTTTTTTTGTGAGGAAAACTCTGATTCCGGGGGTCTTAATTTGGGTTGCTTTTCTCATGCTTTATCCTCCATTATTTTTAAACCAATGTAGAGATTGTTTCATTACCACTAAGTTAAGTCAATTTTAAATGGATATTTTTTAATAGGAAATGTGACATTCCACCCACATCCTGCTGCTCGTATAATTTCAAAGGACCTCTTGCTTGCACACACCCTGCATGTCTGCCGAAAACGTTTCTATTTGTCACGTC